GTGTGCCTTGGCAGAAAAATATTCCTCTAAGGTACATTTAGAACAGATACAAAATGTGCGATTAATCGCGATTAACTATTTTAATCGACTGACAGCCCTAATATATATATATTTATACACATTCTCGCGAGATCTATCAGGGGTCGTTGTAAGTTAAAGCCCAAACTGTTACTTGGCTAATGTTGTTATAATTCTCAGTATGAAAACCTGCAGGTTCACTGCAACTCTTACTACTTTTAAATCCAGGCTGAAGACTTTTCTTTTTGCCGCTGCTTTTAATTGAACTATTCACATCTTAAACTGCACTGTAACTTTTATCCATGTAGAAAAGTGCCGGTCAAAGGTCTTCTTTGTTATTTATTGAGCTTTAAAACAAATGGATAATGACTCTATATAATCATTTATAAGAATAAAACACGGAGGACGGAGATCTCTTTTTCTCCCCCTCTTCTGAGAGCCTAGCAGCTGATCTCAAAGCACCTCCCCTCTCCTGCAGGGGGCGTGGTCAGCTGCAGCTCACAGAATCAGCCCCCTGCAAAAACAGCGCTGGAAAGAGCAAATAGAGCGAAATGAGACATGGCTAAAATGCAGGATCTGTTTGGTATTTTGAAAAAAAAACTATATTTATATACTTTATATAGGTATGGCCCTACAATATATGTTTCAAATATAGCATGATAGGTCCACTTTAAATGTAAATTATCATTAAGAGTGCAAAAACAGGTGAAAAGCTTCTCAGTGGCCTGAGTGAACTCTAATTAGAACAATGATGTCTAGTCATATCTCAGCTGTGTATCTCTTTAATCAACACATCTCTATGGTTTTAATATCTATCAGACCTCTGCAGACTCACATTTTAAGTGAGTTATGAAGTGATGTACAAGCAATAACGCAACAATTCAGAGTTCCCGAATATTTTTTTGCAGGTGACAATGTCCGTTACATTTGAAATCTTCCGGAAAAAATGGGAAAAGTGCCGGTCAAAGGTCTTCTTTGTTATTTATTGAGCTTTAAAACAAATTGATATGATTCGATATTAAACAAACTAATTATAGTGGATTAAATATTAAAACATGTAC